AAAACCTGGCACCAATTAGTTTCTTGTTACAACTTGATGCACTGAAGTTTTTCCCCACCTCGCACCTGCCTTTCCAGCGTGACGGCACTGGCCCAAGCTGCGAATCATCGAAACTTTTAAGTTCAGGCCACACTCCGGTGTCCAATATGCCAACAACCACTTCACGCATTGAATTAGATGTGGGGAAGAGAGCCGTGCTCTTTCCTAATCCAAGGAACTCCGGCGTTCGAGTTGTGTGCAGTTCATATATCACCTCAGGTAAAACAGAGAGAATTCCAGGTTGCTCTCCTAGTGATTCAGCTTCCTCAGCTGTTAGCATCGTCGAGTAGCCATGGACTACGTTTTCATATTGGTAAAGCACGGATGCCGAGTCTGAGACAGATTTTAAGAATGAGTCATACCAGAGGGAGTGATGAGTGAAAGTTTCTGGCATGTTGGACTTGTCCATGTGGACTATGTAAGTCCTTCTGGCTTGTTGGATCTTCTCTTCTGCTAAGATGCATGCATAATAGAAACACAGAAATAGAAAGATGTCTACTAATTTTAAGTTGAATGACTTCATTTCTTCACTCTAGGAAAGGAGGACAGCTCGAGTTTGCAATTTCAGTTCCTCTCGATTGCTGAATGCATGGCTCACCAAGGGACAAGGATCTACTATATGAGGAGAGATTGGTATGACTCCAAATCGGTTCCCGAAAAAAATGCTCCCTTCAGTAATGGTAGAAATTTCTTCTTTCAATGATTGATGATTAAAATAATAATGTTAAACGCCTCAAATCTAATAAATTTTATTGCAAGCTATCAGTACTTACAAGTTGGGGCATGCGTGTAGAAATCAAGTGGCAAATAATAGCTACTAATCTTAATATTTCTTACACCGAGCCGTACTTGTCTTTTGATGGCTTGTAAAATAGGAATTTGCTTAATTCTTGGTGGCCATGAAACTTGTGTTTTTAACATGAAAGCAATTTTCATTGTTTAAAATGAAGGAAGGTTGAATTTGTCAAAGATTTGGTTCTAAAATACAGTGTAAAAGACAAGATTCCAAAATTTTAAAACAATCAGGCACACTGTCACACTTGTTACAGGTAAGCAGAGGTCCTTTTAACTTTAGTCACTTTAATTAGACATAACTGAAGGTCATCAGTCACCAGTCCAGTTGTTTCATTTGCTTGTTGCTTTCACATTAGTCCGTAAAAACCGTGAATCAAGTATGCTCAGATTCAACATGTACGTGTACCGATTAAGGGATCATTTATTTTTCAATAATATGCGAGGTTGCTTTTGTTATAAATTCAGAAAACAGAATCTGCAGCCATAATTTATGTGATTATTACACCATGCTATCTTATCTTCTAGATCTGCACCGAAATCCCACCTTCATCGTATTCCTTGTTATTAAAAAACTGCAACGACAATGATAATTTATGTGATTATTGGAACATGTTATCTTTTCTTGTAGATCCCACCTTCCAAATCAACCAATGATACTACGTAAAGTGATAGTTGATTGAAGTTACTGGCTGTTTAACTTTTTTTTTTTTTTGATAAATCAAGATTTTATTACCTAAAAATAACAGCAAGCTGCTAACAAAACAGTTCAATCAAGAAACAAGCAAAGGGAACTATTTACAACAAATTAGACTATATCCCAATGATTACAAATAGCTAAGTTAATGTTATCTAATATGTTGAAAATTCTATTACTTAGAAGAGTTCCTACCATCTCCTTAATAGCTTTGATAATTTCAGCTTCAGTTCTGGAAGTTCCTTTGAATATCCGACGATTTCGTTCTTCCCAAATGGTGTAATTAAAGGCGTTCCATGACAGCTTCAGAATGCAAGTTAACAGTGATTTACCTTTCCATGAAGAGTTTGCCCATTGCAGCAAAATAATCCAATTAAAGAAATTCCTGTTCAGACCAGAAAGTTGCAGAATTGATTTCCAAATGGAAGCAGTCTTCGAGCATTCGACAAAGAGGTGGTTCCTAGTTTCCGTTGCTTCCGAGCAGAACATGCAAAGATCGTTTGTAATAAGACAAAATCGTTGCATTCTGTCCTTAGTGGGGAGCCGATCCAAAATAATCATCCATGAAATTATGCTATGCTTCGGGACATGTAGAGGATACCAGAGAAGTTTGTGCCATGCGACTTTAGCATCTCTAGGGCGGATTTCTTCCCAAATCTCTTTAGTACTTTTTACTGTTGTTACACGCACTGTTTGAGCAGCATTTCTGAGCTTCAGCATTCGCTTAAAGCTCCAGCTGGCAGATTGCGGTATTTCCATGGTCCAGAAATCATGCTGCTTAATTATGTAGGATTGAAGCCACGCTATCCAAAGAGAACCTTCCCTTACGAGTAATTTTCCAATCATAAAAATTACGCAGGCGTTGTTCCATGATTTGATATCCTTTAGTCCCAAACCTCTTTCTGATTTTGGTTTACAAATTTTCACCCAACTCACCCTTGCACCGACAGCAGAAATATCCAAACCTTTCCAGAAAAATCTGGAACATAATAGCTCAATCTTCTTGATAATGGTCTGTGGTAAAACCAGCTATCTACACCAATAATTCACAACATTGTAGATAACTGTCTTTATAAGCTCAACTCTGCCTGCGTAGCTCAAATTCTTTCTAGACCATTGGTGAAGTCTGCTCTTGATGTTGTCTAGCAAAGCTTTGCAATCTTTATCGGTAAGCTTTCTGGTGACAAGAGGTACCCCGAGGTATCTAACAGATAGCTTTCCTTGTTTGAAACCAGTATAGTTGATGATAGATTCAAGATTATGAGCCGAAATACCTATAGTGAAAAACTCATATTTACATGCGTTGAGCTTCCAGAATATTCATAAAAACAGTCCAAGACAGTAATCACTCCCATAACAGACTCAAGGTTTCCTTTGCAGAAAATCAATAAGTCATCAGCAAATGACAAGTGGGTGAGTTCAATTTTCTTGCATTTAGGATGGAAGGGAAAAATCCCTCTGGAAGCAGCGTTATTGAGAATATTAGAGAGCACATTCATAACCAGAACAAATAAAATAGGGGAAAGCAGATCACCTTGTCTGATTTCTTTTGCGCCCTTAAAAAAACCAACCAAGCTTCCATTAAGACCAATGGAATATCTAACATCCGTATAGCATGAAACAATCCAATCGATGAATTTTGGAGGAAAATCCAGAGCTTTAAGAACTGCATAAATAAAGTCCCAATTGATGGAGTCAAAAGCCTTTTGAAGATCAATTTTCAGTGCACATCTTGGTGATATGAACTTCCTCCCATATCCTTTAACAATTTCTTGCGCAAGAAGGGTATTAACTACTATACTCCTTTCTTTGACAAAAGCCAATTGATTAGGTGCAATAATCCTTGGCAGTATGTTAGTAATTCTATTGACAAGAATCTTTGTAATGGTCTTGTAAATAACCGAGCAACAAGAAATGGTTCTGAAGTCAAAAACTATGCTAGGATTCGACTTCTTTGGAATCAAGACAATAGTGGTTGCATTAAAGGCCGGATAAATAAATTATTCTTGAAAGAAGTACTTTATTGTCTTAATAACATCATTAACAACCACTGGCCAAGCTTTCTTGAAAAAGAGAGAAGTAAAACCGTCCGGTCCGGGAGCCTTGTCATTGCCTTGGCTGAAAATGACCTCTTTAATCTCATCACTAGTAACTTCCTTGACAAGAGCTTCAGTGTCAACAAGTGATGAAATAGGTTGCATAAGACCTTTAAGAATTGCAGGAGAGCATTCTTTTACTTCTGGATCCTTGGAACCTAAAAGATTTTTGAAGAACTCAATTATTTCCGAGGACATTTCATTAAATGATTCAAGTCTTTCCCCCCAATTATTGACAAGAACCCTTATAGTATGCCTCTTGTTCTTAGTAGCAATGACTAAGTGAAAGAATTTTGTGCATTTATCACCCTCCTTAAGCCAATGCATTTTAGCTTTTTGTTTTAAGAACATTGTCTCTGCTTTTGCTAAATAATTGAGCTCCCTTTGTAACTCGAGTTCTTTCTCCAAGGAATCATCACCTCTTAAGGTAAGAATTTACTGCCTATCAAGTTCTTCTCTTTTTAGTCTAGTTCGAGCCGAGATGTCACTGAAATGGTCTTTATTGAGCTGCTTAAGGCTTTCTTTGAGATGTTTAAGCTTTAAGAATAAAGACTTTATTGGGTTGCCTTGCACTGCAATTTTCCATGATTGACTAACAATGTTAAGAAAATCTGGATGCAGAGTCCAACAGTTGAAGAATTTGAATGGTTTGGGTCTATTTGAATGAGCCTCTTTGTGAAGATCAATCACTGCCATACAATGATCAGAAGGAACAGGCGCTAAGAATTCCACAGAAGAGTGAGGAAAATAATCGAACCATATAGGATTGATGAGAACTCTGTCAAGTTTCTGAGCAAGGAAATTGTCACTTTGTTTGTTACTCCACGAGAATGTTGGACCAAAGAAATGATGGTCTTGTAACTGTAGATCTTGAGTAATATGCTGAAATTCTAACATGTCATAGGAAGTGATCATACCCATAAGCTCGTGATCAGAACTTTCATAATTATTCAAGATAACATTAAAGTCACCTCCCAGGAGACAAGGAAGGTCACTATAATTTGATTCAAGATGTCGAAGTTCTTGCCAAAGTTGTCTTCTAATGATGCCATTATTACTACCATATATTACGGTAATAATGAAGGGAGCACCATTAAAAAGACCTTTGACAGTGATACTTTGATCGGTAGCTTTACATAAGGAGAAATCCAATCCTTTCCTCCATAAAAACCATATTCTGCCATTCACTGCAAAATCATAATTGGTGAGAACATTCCAATTCTCAAAAGAAGTAGCTAATAATTCATAAGATTTCTCTAATTTCACTCGAGTTTCCATCAAACATAGGATATCCACATTACTCTTGGCTGCCCTTTGAAGGACTTGGCCTTGTTTAAGATGATTATTTAATCCTCTTACATTCTAAAAGGAAATTATCATTTTCCTTGGGATGAGGAACTCGGTTCCCCTCCTTGACTTCCTACTGAAGAACCCTTAGATTTATCAAGATGAGACTTCTTTTTTATTTTGAGTTCTTTAATCAAAACAGCAACACCAGAAGTAGCTGCTCTTACTTTTTTCCCTTGATTCTCTGAGGTAGGGAGAGTCTCATTAATCGTGTTTAGTAGCTCAAAACGATTACTGGACCCTGTTAATACATCGTGAGCTTTATTATGCCTTCCTCTATTCTTTTTAATAAGGAGAGTAGGAGTAGAAATTGTATCAGCAGAATTACCTAGCTGATATGGAATTATGGAGTTCTCTTCTTCATTAGGATCAGTAGAAGTTTCTTGATCATTAACCGTAGTAGAGACTTGTTGAATGGGTTCAGTCGAAGCATCAGAGTCGTTAACAGAATGATATGACTCTAAGGAAGAATGGTTCCCACCTTTAAAATCCTTAGAAGATATGTTCAAAGAAGGTTTAGGATCAACAGACGTTGTATTTTGTTTATGTTCAGTGCAAACAATTTCAAAATCTAGTGGGGTTGTAGTGGCAGAATTTTTTTCCTCCAAACCATTCTTGAGGTTTGAGGAATAGGATTTTGCTTACATCCTTTAACACTGTGTCCAAACACATTGCAGTATTTGCAGCAAGAAGGCATCCACGGTACTTCGACAACTATCGAGACTGTTTTACCGTTGTTAAGAACAACATCAACTAACTTAGGAATAGCTTCAGACAGGCCAACTTCAACACAAATTTTTGAAAACTCTAACCTAGACTTAGAGGCGGTGATAGAATCCATTGAAAAGGGGTAACCTATGGCACTAGCAATATAGCTAAGGCCTTCGTAGTTAAACAATTCAAGGGGAACATTAAATAGGTGAACTCAGATAGGAATTCTTGATAAATCAAGTTGCAGTTTTTCCATGTTCGGTACCCATTTCCTAAGGATTAATGGTTTGTTGAAGATGTGCCAAGGGTCATTCTCCAATACCAAGTCCCGAGCATGCTCTGAACTAAACGAAAAAAGGTAAAGGTTGTTACATGAATAGCTGATATGCATATTGGCTCCTTGCAAGGGCTTTCTCCACAGAGTGTCGATAATCTGATGTAGAGCAGCTAATTTAGGAGCATCACCTAAAAATTGCCCAACAAGCGAGAGACCCCATTCTTTAATTCCATCTTCAAATACTTCCGGCAGCAGATGAACAGTCGGGATCCTATCTAGGGAATTTGGGGGAAAATACTGTAACTGAGTCCCAGTGAAGCATGAAAATAGCTTGCGCCAGTCCATCAATAGACCGTACGAAGCTTAGAACAGATTGATGATGAGGGCGTGAAGGAAGAAGATCTTTGAAGAGATGAACGGAGCGCCGGAAGAGCAATCGCAGATTCCTCAGATGTCATTAGCCCCTCTAATGAGCGCCGAAAGAAACCCACGAACTATGGTGAAAGTTTTTAGAAATTCCTTGCCTTTCCTGTTTAACTTTTCTTTAATCCAATAAGTGAGGCCGCTGGTGCCATAGTGGAAACTCATGGATTGGCCATATCCTAATGATAAAAAAGAGGGTTTAAAATTATGGTGCAGCAGGATGTGCACATTGATCTCGAGTCATTAAGCCTAATCAAAAAGATGTTGGGAAATAAAACAAGTACGAGTAATTTCCCTATAACCAGATTAGTGAGAATACGAAATAAAATATGGAAAAATAATACCCGAAATTGATAACGGAGTTCAGCCAATTTTTGCTTACATCTCCGGACTGCTGCAGATCTTTTACTAAGAGAGAAAATTTACAGGTGTTTACAAAACACTCACTACTCACAAGAAAGCTCTCTAGTATTGGGAGAAAGAAATGATTTTTGGGATGATTTTGAAGTTAAATGGGTTAGGCTATTTATAGTTGAACCTTAGGGACTAATCTTGTAAATACCCTAAAGTATGCAATGGTTAAAATATGATTAACCCAAAAACATTTTAATTAAAGAATTGGGGCACCGAATTGCTGAAAATGCCAAGCATTTAGGCGGTGGCACACAATCCCTTTTTTAACTTTTCTTTCCTCCAACAATCTCCCACTTGAATACTGATTTTAATCTTTCTTCACACCTTGATCAATGCAACAACATTTCTGGTCTTGTTACTCTAGCATGCCAACTGAAGCTGAACACAACTTCAGTTTGTCTGTAGTCACCATCTTTGTTAACATGTCTGCCGGATTTTGAGTTCCACTAATCTTTTCAAGTTTCAAAATCCCATCTTCCAGAAGAGACCAGATAAAATGATATCGCAATTGTATGTGCTTTGTTCTGGAATGAAAAGACGAATTCTTCACTAAATATATAGCACTTTGACTGTCGCAATACAAGACATTATTTTCTTGTTTCTTGCCTAACTCTTCCAAGAAACTTTAGAGCCAAACCATCTCATTCCTGGCTTCCGTAACAGCGACATATTCTGATTCAGTTGTGGAGAGAGCAACTATCTTCTGTAGTTGAGAAACCCAACTCACTGCAGTTCCTCCTAGAGTATAGACATACCTTGTAGTGATTCTTCTAATGTCGACATTTCCGGCTAAGTCAACATCTACATATCCTGTCAGTATCGTATCTCCACCTTTGAAACAAAGTGTTTTATTTGTGGTACCTCGTAGATATTTGAGGATCCATTTGATTGCTTTCTAGTGTACCTTGCCCGGATTATTCATGTACCTGCTAACAGCTCCCACTGCATGAGCAATATCTGGTCTGGTACAAACTATGGCATACATCAGACTTCCATTTACTGAGGCATACGGCATCTTCACCATGTATGCACGTTCTTCCTCCGTCTTTGGTGACTGTTCTTTGGAGAGTCTAAAATGAACACCTAAAGGTGTACTTACTGGTTTAGCATCTTGCATGTTGAACCTGGAGAGTACTTTGTTGATGTACTCAGTCTGTGATAACATCAAAGTCCCTGACTTTGTGTCTCTCTTGATCCTCATCCCTAGAATCTGCTTTGCAGTGCCCAGATCTTTCATTGCAAACTGCTTCGACAATTTTTGCTTCAAGTTTGTAATCTCTTGCATGTTTGAGCCTGCAACGAGTATGTCATCAATATACAACAATAAAATAATGGAGTTGTTGTTAAACCTCTTGATGTAGCAATAATGATCTGCTTGGCATCTGGTAAAACCACTACTACTCATGAAACTATCGAACTTCTTGTACCACTGTCTAGGAGCTTGTTTTAAACCATACAAGCTCTTCTTCAACCTACATACTAGGTTTTTCTTACTTGCCTTTATGAAGCCTTCTGGCTACCTCATATAGATTTCTTCCTCAAAATCACCATGAAGGAAAACTGTCTTTACATCTAACTGCTCAAGATGTAAATTCTCTGCAGCTACAATTTGCAACACCAGTCTGATTGTAGACAGTTTTACGACTGGAGAGAAAATTTCATTGTAGTCAATACCTTCTTTCTGCTGAAAACCTTTGACAACCAATCTCGCTTTGTAGCGTTTGCTCCCATCGTGCTCTTCTTTGATCCTGTAAATCCACTTGTTGTGGAGCGCTTTCTTGCCTGGCGGTAATTCAGCTAATTTTCATGTCTGATTTGACATAAGCGAGTCAATCTTATCTTTCATGGAAGACTCCCACTTGACTGAATCCTCCACTTGCATTGCTTCATCATAGCACTCTGGTTCACCATTGTCAGTCAGTAATAAGTAGTGCAAAGAAGGAGAATATCGTTGGGTTGGTTTGGGAAATCTGGAGGAGCGTCTCAGTTCTGGTGTGCGTGGTTCTTCTTGAACTGCTTCAGGATTGATATGAACATCATTTCTAGAAATCTCCTCAAACTCAACAAGTTCTTTTGTTTCAGCTTTGATATTGGAGCTACTTGATTCTACAATTGACCTATCTTTGTACATCACATTCTCTTTAAAAATGTCATCTCTGCTTCTGATGATCTTTCGATTTTCGTAATCCCAAAACCGGTAACCGAACTCATCACCGCCATAACTAACAAAGGCACATTTGTTGGACTTAGCATCAAGTTTACTTCTTTCAGCAGAGTCTATGTATACATAAGAAATATAACCAAACACTCTTAAGTGTAAAAGATTTATTTCTTTCTTGCTCCAAACTTCCTATGATATTCCGCCATCCAAGGGATCTAAGGGCCCACGATTGATCAGGTAAGTTGTAGTGTTGATAGCTTCAGCCCATAGCAATTTGGGCAAACCGACGCGTATTCTCATGCTTCTGGCACGTTCATTCAGAGTTCTGTTCATGTGCTCTGCTACGCCATTCTGCTACGGTGTCATGGGAAATATTCTCTCCATCTTGATCCCATTGTTTGCGCAAAATTCTCTGAATCTACTATTTTTGTACTCTCCTCCATTATCAGACCTAACCGCTTGACTTTCAAACCAATTTTATTTTCCACCATGGTCTTCCATTTTCTGAATGTATCAAAGACTTCTGATTTCTTCTTCAGAAAATAAACCCACACCTTCCTTGTAGAATCATCGATGAAGGTGACATAATATAATGAGCATGCAAGAGATGAAACTGGAGATGGTCCCCATACATCAGTATGAACCAACTCTAACTTTTCAGCCTTGGGTGTCTTACCAATCTTTACAAAGCTAACTTTCTTTTGTTTGCCAAAGATGCAATCCTCGCATAGTCCGACATCTACATTCTTTAGATCCGGCAGCTTCCCTTTTGACAAAAGTGTCTTCATCCCTTTCTCGCTCATATGACCAAGCCTTTGGTGTCATAGGTTTGATTTTCCATCAGCATCTGCTGCAGCAATGATATTCTCTAAGTTTGAGGTTACATAGAGAATACCAGTCTTCTTACCACGAGCAATGACGAGTGCTCATTTGGTAATCTTCCATTCACAGCCTGAAAAGGTTGTGATATATCATTCTCCATCAAGTTATCCTACAGAAATCAAATTTATTTTGAGGCCAGGAATATTTCTCACTCATTTCAGCGTCCAGGTGGTTTGGTTTGGCAGCTTTAATCGGATGTCTCCTTTTCCGACGATCTTCAAGGTTTCATCATCAGCTAGATGAACCTTCCCAAAATCACCACTGACATAGTTCTCCATGATTTCTCAGCGTGGGGTGGAGTGGAAAGATCCCTGAATCTAAGATCAATGATTCAATCGGACTGTTGACGCTTAAAATCATGGCATCACCTGTCTCCTCTGTCATGTTGGCTTCTTGTGCACCGATATATTTCTTCAGTACTCTGTAATCTCTTTTAAAGTGACCCTTCTTGGCATAATTATAACATGTAAAATCTTTCTTTCCCGTTCTTTATTTTCCTCTTCTGGATTTGGATTTGCCACGATTTGAATTTCTCTCTAAAGTTCTCCCTCTGGACTCGTGGAGTGGAAAGATCCCTGAATCTAAGATCCATGATTCAATCGGACTGTTGACGCTTAAAATCATGGCATCACCTGTCTCCTCTGTCATGTTGGCTTCTTGTGCACCGATATATTTCTTCAGTACTCTGTAATCTCTTTTAAAGTGACCCTTCTTGGCATAATTATAACATGTAAAATCTTTCTTTCCCGTTCTTTATTTTCCTCTTCTGGATTTGGATTTGCCACGATTTGAATTTCTCTCTAAAGTTCTCCCTCTGGACTCCGTGTGCAAGGCTGAGAAGGTCGATGCTTCACCCGATTCTCTCCGTCAAATTTCTTCTCTCAATACCATATCCCGAAATCGTCAAATTTCAATTTACTATTTCCTGACGAGCTGCTAACTGCTGTAGCAGTAGCATTCCAACTGTCTGGTA